TCTACCTATGAAGTTTGAAGTTGATAACTTAAATACTTTTTGACATATGCTCCGGACAAAAATGTCGGACTGATGGACGGACGGACGGAAGGACAGACGGATGGAGATTACAGTCAAACCTGTATAAGAGAGACAGTATTGGGAATTTGTAAAAGTGTCTCTCTTATACAGGTGGCTCTGTTATCCAGGGCTGAACTCTGGCTAGGAAAAGTGACTATTTTTAACTATTTTTTAGATATGACGCATAACACCATGATTTGCAATGATTTCAGTTTTTTTTTTAGATAAAACATTTAAAACATAAAATTTAATATGTAATGTTAAAAATTTAATGTTAAGAAGAACATATACATGAAATTGATAAAAAAAAGTTAGAATGTGCATTTTAAAATTAAAGTTAGGAAGTCAAATATACATTGTACATGTATAGTAAAAGTAATTTGGCACATTGTTTTTGTTTAAAAAAAAGTCTTAAATTGAAGTTTGTTTACTCATCGCTTCCATACGCATATTGATACTAAGTTCTTCCAGTTCATGAACATGATTTAAGAATGTACAACTTCCAGTTTGTGTAGCAAAGTTTTTCAGTGTTTTAATCATTTCTTGTGCCTCAGATAAAGAAATATGTTTAGACTCAGAAATGTCTGTATCACATTCTTCATCACTTTCATTTATAGGTTCAATAGGTTCGATCAGCTTATGAACAGGTACATCCCAGTTAAAACCATGATCACAAGTGTCTACATCTTTTTCAATATTCATGATATCTTTAAAGTCACACCCAAATAACTCTTTGCACATTTGCAGCACAGCTAAAGGCACATTATCATCTAAATCAATCTCTTCTTCATCATTTACTGAAGTTAAAGCTGGATTGTCAAATATAGATTCCTTTAAACCTGCTCGTGCAAAACACTTCTTAATTGTTTCAACTTCAATATCATTCCATGACTTTGAATCCAATAAATGGCCTGAAGGACTGTTATGCTTCTCATGACTGATGAGCCTTCAGCTGTGCTGTCTCTTTCCATTTGATATAAAACATACTGGAGTTGTCTTTGTCTATATTTAATTTTAAATGCTTGAGTTATACCTTGGTCCATGGGCTGTGATTTTGAAGTTGTGTTAGGTGGTAAAAAAGCCAATTTTATATTTTGAACATTTATGTGTGGATGTCCAGGGGCATTGTCTAGCAACAGTTAATTTTTTCTACCTTCACGGTTCATCTTTTTGTCAAGTTTTTTAACCATTTCTCAAAAAGTCCAGAAGTCATCCATAACTTTTTATTGGCAGCATACTCTACAGGTAGAGACTTTATGTCGATTTTTTGAAGCACTTGGTTTAAAAGACTTCCATATAACAAGTGGACACTGTTAAACGGTCCTTAGATTGTTTCCTGCAAGCACAATCATTTCCCTTAATATGAAATGTCTTTGTTGTGTTTTGCCTAAGAAACAGTCCAGTTTCGTCCATATTAAAAATAGCTCGGGACTCATACCCAGCACAAATTTTTGGTAATTTTTTATTCCAATCCTTCACAACTTTATTGTCAACATCCCCACGCTCACCACTCATTTTTCCAAAACAATATTATGACGCTTTGATAAAGACTCAAGCCATCCATTAGAAGCGACGAAAGTGTCATTGTTCAATTCTTTTGCAAATTTCAAAGCTTGTGCTTTTAAAAGTGGGCCGTTCATAACAATCTTACGTGTTGTCATATCTTGAAACCATTTCCATTAGGGATGGCAACGAATACCAAAATCAATACTCGAGTACTCGGTCATTTTTCCGATCGAGTATTCGGTTACTCGGACGATTTCCAATGATCTTCAAAGTTTATCACACAATATCAACACCGTCCGCATGGTACTTTCGTTTTCTATTTACATTCATAGAATTCGTAACTAAAGAAAGGACTGCAAAGGAAACAGTTTAATCAAAATTAAATCAAAGACATTATATTTTAGAACATTTTAATTAATGCAATATCAAGTTTAAAACATGTTAAACAGTTGAAACATATTTTTCTTCTTGTAATAAAATGGACTGATCGGCGGCAACAAAAGTTTAACCGGGTCTAAATACTACCTTAATTATTAATATCATAATAGCAAAACGGCCCTTTGTTGTTTTCAAAAATGTTACCTTTAAACAAGATTCGGGTACAAACTGCACTGTGTAACACAATTTAAGGTTACTAAATATCATAAGAGGCCGGATGACGTAAGCGACACATGTGCGCGTGTCAAACTGTTGATCGCCTCATTAAATTTATGGTATCATTATCGCACCTCTGCAAGGAAGTTGTGATTGCATTTAACAGGTATTTATGAGAGTATATGCACATCTCCGAATTTCTGAACTAATTGGATACACCAAACTGTCTAAATAGCAAATAAAATAGAAATTATACATTTTTTCCGAGTAATCGAATATCAATTTTGTTAACCGATATTCAGACGTTCGATCGAGTACTCGGTTAACCGGTTACTCGTTGCCATCCCTAATTTCCATGTTAATTCATTTAAATCTTCATTTCCAGTCTTTCTCCTTTTACGTTTTCTTTCATTTGGAACATTATTTTCATAATCATCAATGATCTCTGATTTCCTCTTCATCAAGCGCTGTATTTGATCTTTCCCTACTTTGAATGTTTCTGCAACTTTTCTCGAACTCTGAATTTGTTCATATAAGCGTATGGCTTTTACCTTTTCATCTAAGGTCAGTTTTTTTTCTGTTTGGTAGTCATATCTTACTGCAAACAGAAAAATATAAAACTTTAAGTTTTAAAAAAATCAATCAGTCTAAAACATACATGGTGTATGTTTTGTTGCTAATGCATTTGGCATTTAAAATCGTGAAGAGCTCTACATTATTTGTTACAACATCTTTATTTAACAAGAATAATTGAATCTAATGTAAAAAAATAACTTACCTTTAAAAATTTCTGCCTTTTAAATAAAAAACTTTTGATCCGTTCGTTATCTATGAAATAATGCAGATTTAAACACCTGGTGTCCTTACTTAATTTTATGTACTGTCATTTTCTGTTGCTCTAAGACCAACTTACAGGGACTTCACTGAGGTTTTCTGACAACACTTTTGGAGATATACATTTGTTTTTTCGAGATATGTGCATCATTTGATGACGTTCCGGACCAATGACTTATACTTATGCGCCAGATTTCAGATCATTTACTCACTCCTATTTTCCATAATAATCATTTTTATTGTGCATAATGACCAAAAAATGTAAAACGCTAGAACGACTTTTGCAGGCTAAGAATTGCACAAAAATGAGTTAAGAGAATTTCTTGTTGACTTTTATATATCTTTCTGTTTTAATATATTACTTCATTACCATTTTGTAAAACATGGCTATTTTCATTGAAAATCCCCCTGTTACAAGTTCAAATTATTATGAAAGTATAAAAAGGCGTCAATACTAATCAAACTTGGCACAAATGTGACTGGGCCATAGCCTATGTACCCGCATACTCAATCTTCATGATCACTTTTTGCAGCATTTCTCTAACGAAAAAAGTGTTTGGGGGTCTAAATAGGATTTTTTTTCACTATTTGAGGCCTCAAAAAGGGGGATATGAAGTAATGAGTTAAGTGGCCTATAGTAATCTTATGTTATAATATCGAATTCTATGTTCACAGGCTTTTATACATGTGGAGCTCCTTTTATCAAGACTTCTAACATTGCATATCACAGGACTGAGAGGTTCCTATGACTTGAAACCAGGAAAATAAGCTGTAGAAATTTAGAGATCAATTTATTATTTATATAATACTAGTATGCATGTCAGAGTTTGAAATCATAAAGAAAACTACCAGTAAAATCACCACCATGGGTACCTCAAAGAAAAGAAAAGGTCTTATTGAATAACAGGTCAATTTCTTTTTAAATAAATAAATATGAATACATATACGAAGAAATATATATTTATACTTATATTTTCAACAGTAGTATCATCACAGGGTTCTAGAACATTTCAAAAACAACAAAACAAACAACTAGGAACATACACTGAATATACATTGTCCCCTGTCTCTTACCATATAATAAAAAACTTTTCTTATACAATAGAAACAAAAACAAGTCTATGTGTATGTAGTGTAACTTAACATGTGGAAAATATTAATAAATGTATATATCACAAAACAGTATTACAATCTTTCCTAAAATATGATATTCCTTGACAAATATTCTTAAACCCGTATGCCTCTAGATGAGCCAAAACATTTGAAAAAATCAAATAAAAAATGTAGAGAGATTCAAAATTCAAGTAATAATATACATTGTTTGAGCCATTATTGACAGATTTTGCAAAAATTATCACCATATTTCTACTGTGTCTTAGGTAGTAAGAACTATTATTGTATATTTTGACCTCTTTTTGGCAATTTTCATGGAAAGTAAATGCTGTTTTCAATTTTATTACATTTCTTTCTTTCTTCACTTCAAAATAGTTCATTTTAGACACATTTTCAACATATTCAAGAAAGCATTTGCTTCAATTGATTTTCAATGTATGTAAACCACATACCAGTATATACATTTCATTAATTTGTCAACATTCTCTATGTAAGTAGTGCATTGACAAAAAATATTGTTATTATTTAAACAGATAAAATCTATTTTTGACTTGTACAAATACACATGGTCAGTGAAATATATATAGGAAATTACAATTAATTCAATATAATTTCATTTCATCTGCGAAATAATATCTTAAAGTGGCAAAATATACTTAATTTTTACATATTTTTTATTTTTTCAACATATAGTTTTTAATTAAAGTTTTGTCTAAACATCTAAACAATCCACCTGTGAAATTCCTAATCAAGTCAAGAAAATAAAATATAAAAGATATTTTTAGAGCAGATAAACTGCAAATTTTTATAGCAGATAAACTGCAAACATATTTATGTATTTTTATATTACCACAACATTACACGTTCAACTGAATTTGACTTCAGAATAGTAGTTTTTGAGACCTTACAAATGCAAATAATAACTTAAAGAGATGGAGGGATTCACACAACAATTTAAGTGTTATAGAAATTGTATAAGTTGAAAACAGTTTGTATAAAAATTCTTCACCATGAAGGTAAAACATGCCAAACTTTATTACACCAGTATTTCATAGTGTTACAGTTCATAAAAGTTCAATATTTATATACATTTTTACATTGCATACACATTCTTTCTTTCATAAAACATTGTTCAAATATGCATGCAAACACATTTGAAAAAACAACAACAACTACAACAATAAAACAGCGATCATAATTATTCATTCCTTGTTTATGTCAGAAATTTAGTGTATTGATTCCATACATGCCAAAGTGGTGATTATTCTTTAAAAAAACACAGCAGAAGTGAAGTTAATATATTATTAACAATTAAGGTAAAATGCTTTCTTTATTCTTATTTGCTATAATGTATAGCTTATATATTTACTGATTTTATTCTAATACGTCATTTATTTATGTTACGGTATTGAATTTTTTTCCTTAACAAGCCAAATAAATTATATTTCTGAAAGAAGTAACCGTTACAAATTTGGTCATTATACAAATTTTGACAGTGGAAGTACCATTGATGTAAGTTAGACTAAATGTTTTAAGCTAACATGCAATTTTGAAATAAAGAAGTCACACTTTCCATAGAATTGATATATAAAGAATAGAAATAAATCTGGTGAATTGCATGTTCTGCCATTATTATGTAACAATTGGTATGGAATAGAACAGATAAGATTATTAACTACCATGCTTCCTTCATAGAAAACATAAATATTTTTGTGTTTGTGTAAAATTGACAATTCATGCTAAATAGGCTCTTGCTAAATCTAATGTCTTTTCAAGTACTTTTTTTAATAGGCAAAAGGTTTTTATTTCGATGTCTAAAGTGCAAAATCACAGCTGTAACAGAAAATGTTGGCCCGAAAATTGTTTTGTAGCTGGTGGAACAAAATGTAAGAGATAAATAGAATAAATGTTGTGCGTCAATGTACACTTCATTGATGCCTATATATCTACCGTTAATTTTAGTGAATATTCATTGAATTGCAAGGTAGACACATCTTGAGCTTTTGTCTTTAGCAGATAGCCATTTTGTGAACAGATACCATAAATATGATTTTTCTGTTTTTCAATTTGGTGAAAACAATACTAGTTTTACCTATCCATCCAGTGTCTTTGTTGTTTTCCCTTTTCTACAAATACGAGATCGTATTTGTTTATTTATTACAAGGGAGGTAATAAAGTACAGTTTGGTTTCTGTACAGAACAGGATAATAGCAGTTGTAGCCCCTTTAGGTAAATTTAATTTATGATGCTTGGAACGGGAATTCTTGAAGCTTGAAACAGGACAAAAAATTTCACATAACATTTTATAGTCATATATAGAATATAAAGTCTGAAACTTATGAGACATGAATGAGCAAAATTGAAATATTCCATCTTTGAATAACCTGAATACACATTGTATCAATCGAATTTTAACAATATTTTTCTTCTAAATTTAGAAAAAAAACAGTGACCTTGTGGATTCTGATTGCACTTGTTTTTACTAAAATAATAGCAGCATATCTATAATAAACACATACATTTAGCATCATTTTTTTTCAAAATTATTTCTTTTACATACAAGATACTGTAGAAAAATAAAACAAGGGGCAGGCAAAATAGTAAGCAATCTAACCCTTTCAGTATCTCTTCAAACTTATATACATGTATTAACAAATGAGTTGGCTCTTTTAATAACATAGATAGAAGAACAAAAAACACAGCGTACATAATTTATAAAGGATATGTTCCTTACTACTTAGACTTTTCCCAGAAAGGTTCAAAACGAAACACTATACGCTTTAAAACTTGGAATCTTGAAAACACTGATAGCTTTGCACTTTATGCAAACGAACAAATTTATTATTTCTTATTTAGTGCCTTTGTCTGTGATGTTATGGAGCAACTTACAAACCTGAAACAAGATCTGTAGATAATTTATCACCTTTCAAAGCTTTGTAAAAGCTGAATTTCTGTCTATTGAAAAACTAAAATGATACCCGAAAATTGAAAGAAATCCCACCGTTTACATTGCAGATTAAAAAGCATGCAGTAACTTAAACTTCTATTTATTTTGCAATCATTTGTCCCTGGATGCAACCTGTTCTTGTGGATATGAGATAAAAGATGTTGATCTCACCTGAGTTGTTACTTAAGTGAGCTATTAGCATAGGTCATTCGATCCGTCGTCCTCTGTTGAGGAGATCACAGGTTTGATTGGATCTTCATCAAACTTTGCCAGAATGTGCATATAAAAAGTTCCTTAAATGAGTTAGAATATTGGCCACATTTTGTAAAAAACTAGGTCAAGAAAAGCTTAACATTCTAGAAGTCATAATTTTAACTTGACTGTCACCAAATATTGCCAAAATGATAATCTCAGAGCTATCTCAGATAAATTCGCAGATAGGATTTCATGGGTCAGACATTAAGGTCACCATGAAAATAAAAGAAACAACATTGCTTATAATGTGTAGAGGAAAAGGAAAACGTTGCTTACAGTTCAAATTTTGATTTGATCATCAACAAACTGTATCATTATGTTCATCTTAATGATATCTAGGATGGGATCGAGTATAGGTCATCTTTGGTAAAAAACTATGTCACCAGATTAAATTAAAGAAATAAACAAGAACATTACTTACATTCCAAATGGCTACAATTTTGATTTTGAGTTAAACCCTAAGTCATCAGTCAAGGTAAGGTCACAATCACATTTTCTCGAATTTGCGACTCATTTATAATTTTGACAAGATTGGCTTCTTGAGACCAAAATAGGTGAGAATGGTAAATCCATGCAAAAACAAGCAATCCCACTCTCAGTGTACAATTGGCCATTACTTTTCAGCATTGTAAAACACATATCACAAGGTTTTTTTCTTTGTTCTTTCTTATCCGAGAAAGTCAGATAAAGCTTTTATATACTTGCATATATGGTTTGTTACTTGTACCTTACTGGTAGCCATACTTGTATCCCATGTATTCAAATATGGCGATACAAATGTTTAAATCATTTTTTGTCCGAATCTAAATCCAATTGAAAAATACACATAAAAAAGAGATACATAAAGCCTACAGATTTTTCATTTTCAGTAATTATAAAACATATCTATGATCATAATCTAATCATTTACAAATGCATTCACATACAAACTCACTGATTTTGTTTTGTATTTTTCTCAGATTATTGAACATATTTTGGTTTAAGCGCCTATTATATGTCAACTACTCACTAAGGGTAAGAATTTCATAAGACACTTTGTCTTCTATTCTAATCCTATTTTGTTACAATATTTGAAATGCTTTGTGTATATTGGAAATTGAAACATGTATATATATATTCTGAGAAATGAAAGATGTTTAAACAAAATGTATGTCAAATCTAACAAACAGTCACACGGAATGTAAAATTTTATGCCTCTTCTAACATAATCAAATCAATTTTTTCCATAACACGTTTGCAACCAGTTGTTGAAAATAACTTATTAAATTCAGGAAAGTACAACATTTCCTCTGCAATTGATTTCACTAAATCATAATCTACTTGGTATTCATACGCATAAAAGCCTCTTGCAAATAGTCCGTCTACAATGCATTTTTCAACATGTTTCCTTTCCAATGGTAGAAATGGGATATAAGCGGTAATAAGGCTATTCTTGACGATGCTACTGTTCACCAAACCATCTGTATGAGAAAGAGAGATTTATAGAGATTAGAGGTTTTTATGCATGCATTTATTCTAATTCCCTTAGGAATTACAAATTAAAATATGTATGAAATACTAGTAAATGACACTTTTATCTTAGTTATGAAAAGGGCATAACTTTTACTTAACCTTTTTTCATTTTGTTTTCAAAAGCTTTTTATTTTTGTATCCTGATACATTTCCAAAAAATTACTTCTAGGTCATATAGCTAATTAAGGGTACAAGGAATGATCCCTCGAAAGTATAGTCACATCAAAAATGGTCATCTTTTGTTATCTTTGTGTTTTGGCAATTTGTATTGATTATTAAGTATTTTGTATGGAAGCCAAATATCTACTTTTATTGATATTTTGATACCTTCATGCCAATTCATTTCACATTCAGTGCGTATTCTTAATTTGATTTAGCACCTTACATGTTCTAAATCCATTATTACAAGGGTATAAAACACAAGGGTAGGTTCTGTACGTATTTACATATAATGTATAATCAACTTACTTGGTTCATTTAACGATGAAATTCGTACAATTTCTTCCATATCCTTTAGACTCAATTCTCTTCTGTCATATCCGCGTCTATAACTTTGCACAGCATGTTTAGCAAGGCTGTCTCCGCCCGTGTTACTGAAAAATGTATATATTTATGTAGGACTTCTATAATAAAACGTTCTAACTACTAACTGTACTCAATCTGACAAATTTAGAAACTGCAGGAAATTAACTTGACCCCTATTTGACATTTTTACATGCTGTAGTGTGTAACTGCATGATGATATGGACATTGGCAAACATTTAACTAAATAAATACATGAAGTTTCTTTCTGTGATAAGCTTCTCGAGCTCCTACTTATCATGAACTGCGATTTCAATTAGTAAATATTCCCTTCTCGTAAAATACTACACGTAACGAGAATACTAGCTACTATTTGTCTTTAAAGTGACTCTTTAATTAAATGATATAAATTGATTTATAAAAGAATTTTACCTTAAGAAGAGAAATAGAAGTTTCTTAAAGTATGTTCCTTCCACGTGGTCGTAGTAATCAACGTAAGGGCGGATAGTGTCAATCAAACCAGGAAGTAATTTATCCATTTCATCAATGATAAAGAGTGACCTTGAACATTCTTTACCAGCTGTTTCTATTTTCAATTTTAGCTTCTCCTGTCAAAAAGGTTCATCAAAGGAATTAAAGAACTGAATTTGAATTATAATCTAAGTGATCAAGTAGTTATATAACTCAGACTCTTCACGAAGATACTAATATTGGCACCTGAATCTATTCTTTATCTTGTCCATTTTCTTTTTTATCAATGTAAAAGCTGGTTAACTTTGTAAACACTTTGAAATATTAAGTACCAGAACTTTAAGCATTTCTTTATACATACCTTGTATTCTTTTAGCATACTTTCATGAGGAAAATCTTTCGTAGCTGAAAGGAGATGAACGTATTTGCTTTCCATTCCCTTGACATACATGTTTTCTGCCACCATGCGACTCACGAAGTTTTTTCCCGTTCCAGGCAGACCATGTAAAGAAAGTATTGTTGCTTTTTGATGTTGCCCTTCAACATGACCTCTTAGGTGTTTCACCAAAGGACCAATCACTAGGTGTTGACCGTACAACTTTTTATTAAGTTGGAATGCAAGGCCTAAAAAAACGCTTTGTAACATCATTTAAAAAAGTAAATTGCTTTCACAATAAGAAGTCCAAATGTATATATCTTTTCCTTTACTTTACTTCTAGTCTAAATGAAAACATTATTTTCTGAATATATGTAGTATTGAATAATATTGTTAACTATCTAATCTTATAATATTTACAATTTAATTGCCTCTTCAATATACAATATAGTAATAGTATAAAGACATATGATGTTTAAATGAGTTCTCTTGCTGAATAAAGTCTTTATTATTATCATTATTATACATAAAGTGCTACCTATGATATTTGGAGAGATCCAGTTGTCGTCGCAACATTCATTAAAGTAACATGTTGTGAAAGTGTATCCATAGTGTAAACCCTTTGCCAACATGGCTACTACAATCACAAAAACAACAGCCAGTAATGAATCAAATATTCCAGCGCCTAAACAATCCTTACTATGGCCGTTTTTTCCACTAATTGCACCAGACAAGAAAAGAGTAACTAATCCAGTTGTTACTGTCCAAACAAATATTGTTGTAAAATGATACAACACATATACGGCTACAATACATGTCAATGTCAACAATGTATTACAAACACAAACAGGCATTCTCAGTAGCTTATAACACGAGTCGATTGAAGAAGTTAAAGAAGTTTCCTCTCTTAAACCAATTGTTTGCAAATGTTTATCTTCAGCAATGCGGAAGAATGTATTTTGTATAATGTCGGTCTATGTTTTATGTTAATACGTCATTGATATCACGTCGCGGAAAAATGTTAAACTATATGTCAGTGTTGTATGCTTATGTAGAACAATATAATAGTTTTTAGTCAACTATGATAATATCGCTATGAAATAGTTGAGTCAATTTAGATGCTTAACTACCTGTTTATTTGTAAGAATATATTTTAAATATTAATTGTTGCACATAAACCCTGAACGATAAACCGTTTTTACTCAAATTACTGCAGAACATGTAGTGTATTTCAACATTTTATATAGTTACCGTCACATAAAGAAACGCAAACGCAATTCATATATCTATAAATAAACCGGCTAATAAAATTGACTTACCCATATAAAGATTCTTCAACAATTTTTTTTAGAAGCGCGGTGTTTCTTTAAGTCCATACTTCGACCGATCTTTGGATTTTTATAGTCTTCTTTTAAGCTTATAACAAATTATTTCTTAACGACTGAGTCGTGCACAAAACAGGGGAACAGGCTTCTCTGGCTTTAACATAATGTCATAGATATGTATCGTAGTGTTTTTCAGCATTATATTACATGTATATTTGAATGTGTTTTCCTCATTGATTCAATTTCAAACGCGGCACCATTTAGTATTTAACACTATTTTAACTAAACATTTATATACTATTTATTTATTTATTTGTTTATTCGTATATGGATTTATTTATTTAATTATATATTTTTGTTTATTTTATTATGATGGGAACAGATTTGAATATAAAAATGTGTAAAAACAATCTATAGTGCAAAGGCAATATGTAGGAAAGGACCAAGAAGATACGATTGTACCAAATCGATTGCGAATTTCAGGCAGGATACGATGCATATTCCGAACAGACAAAGCTGTATTCATCAATTGATTGCAAACATTATATGGAGAAGAATTACCAAAATTATTTGTTACAAATAACATTCCATTCAAAATTTACCAGACAGGACTGTTTTGTGTTTATGCTTCAAGTTACTACGCACCAGTGATTGTACATGACTTCCGTGTAATTTGGACACATATTCCGTAAAGTCTTGTAAAGTGTAACATCATTAAGATTTGTTTGAAACTTAGGTACATGTAGTACAGAAATTTTGTATATAGCCCATGCCTCTAAAAATTGCGCACTGAAAATTATATTGCCGTTTTTTTTATTAATTAATAAATGTCTTTTCTCAAGATCGAAATGTCGTATTTTAATGCTAATCTCAATTATTTTTTGATTGTTTCCAATCTTAGTTTTGGTGTGTATATCGCATTGTTAATGGATGCTAAATCGGATTACCTTATCTTTTTATAAGTAGAACCTTGGAAACATCCACTGCTTTTAGATGAAATAAGAATATGTTTAATAGACAAGGTCACCGTCCTTCACAAAATAAAGGTCAAGATCGCAGTTGGCTGTTTATGGCCAAATCATGTATGTCCGCTTTTCTCTCTGTCCTAATATCTTTCTTATTTCTTGACGGACTATCAAAAACATTTTGGAAAATCTTTCACCAGGGTCAGCGCAACATCCGGACATACGTATATAAGCTTGTCTTACAATACTTAATATTATTACTGACCCAGTGTCGTTATAAAATCAACAGATTTGATTATTTATTCAATTGTTAAGTCGCGGGAGACAGTAATCCCATCTCGAAATAGGGTTTGGCCTATATTCCCCTTGCTTTCGTAAATAATATGATTATAGAAATGTAATTATATATTACTCGTTTATTTGCAGCGATACGTATCTGTCTTGTAGGACATGGCCTTTATCTGATCTTGAAGTAATATCTAATCATGAATTTTCTTCGATTAACTTAAGATTTAAATGGCTTGTAGATTTTAATCCAAACAAAAATGAATCAACTGCTTTTACAATACAACGCATATTAATAAATAAAATGACATCCCAGTAAAATTTGTTGAAAATAGCACGATTTAGGGGGGTTTTAAGCTCTAATGCAAAACGACATGATTAAATTAAATATAAATAAAATTTATTTCTACATTATTTGTCATCCCCTTTTACCAAAGTTACATATTTCACTTCTTAGACCTGTTTTTTGAATTTGATTTCATCTAGCCCTATCTCTTTATATCAAGATTTAATACATGTTTAAACAAATAAATTGGCTCTAAAAAGTACAAAAAGAACACTTGAAAAACTCAACATAAATTATTTATAACGGAGATGTACCTGACTACTTATCATTTTCTACAGAAAAGTTCAAAACGCAACGCCATACACTTAAAAATTGAATCTTGATAATTTTGCACTTTATACAAACTGAACTCATTTATTATCCGCCCTAACATTGATTACTACGACTACGTGAAAGGAACTTCTTAAGAAGAGAAATAGAAGTTTCGTAAAGGATATTACTTTTAATTAGTCGTAGTAACCAACGTAAGGGCGGATAGTGTCAAGCAAACCAGGAAGTAATTTATCCATTTCAAGTGACCTTGAACATTCTTTACCAGCTGTTTCTATCTTCAATTCCAGCATCTCCTGCTAACCAATGAATTTAAGAATCCATCTTGGGTCATTATAATAGTGATTAAGTATATATTCAAACAGATACAAATATCTGCACCTGAATATGTCCTTTATTTCTTACATTTTCTTTTTTTATCATTATAAAAGTTGCTTACATTTGCAAAACCTTTGAAATGTTAATTACTATGACTTAAAGCATTTCTTTTAAACATACTTTGTGTTGTTCTAGCAAACTTTCAGGAGGAAAATCTTTCGTTGCTGAAAGAAGATAAACGTGTTTGCTTTCCATTCCCTTGACATACATGTTATCTGTTATCATGTGACTCACGAAGTTCTTCCCCGTTCTTGGTAGACCAGGTAGAGAAAGTATTGTTGCTTTTTGATGCTGACCTTCGACGTGACCTCAAAAAATATTCTTAAGTTTAAGTCTAAATGATAATACACTGCTGAATATATAGTATTTTACAAATATGGACTTTTAGCTGGTAAATATATACGACGTGAGGATATGACGTTACTTCACGCCATGTTTTTTTGTAATTATTCTGATTTTTGACTCAAAATTTAAATCAAATTAGTTCACATTAGACACCGCCTTTTAAATGTAATATACACCATTTAAAACGTCTATATTTGTATATTATTTTGAACTTCTTAAATCTATAAATACAATAAAATGGTATTTGTGACATAGTTAAGGCATAAAGTCACATCATGTTTAAGTGAGTCCCCTCATTTATATTATCATTATTCTTATCATAATTATTATTGACAAAAAGTTGCCACTGAAAGTTGGAGAGAGTAAATTGATACAACACAATTAGTGCTACAATAAATGTCAATGTCCTCAATGTTAAGCCAACACAAACATGCATTCTCAGCAGATTCAAGACGTTTCCTCATTCACATCAGGTCTCTTAAACCATGTTTTTGAAAATGTTAACCATCAATAATGCGAAGAATTATTTTTTTAATGTCGGTCTACCTTTGTCAATACTCTTCAGATCACGAAACTAAAATCGTATTGTCGAAAAATGTTAAATAACACGTCAATTGAATATTGATTGTGTTATATGCCTATGTTAAACAAGATCATAGTTATTAGTATTACTATATCAATTTCGCTATATACATGAAATAGTCGAGTCAATTTAGAAGCAAAATTACATGATTATTTGTAAGAATATTTTTAAATATTAATTGTAACACATAAACCCTTAAGCATACGCCTTTGTTTTACTCAAATTTCTGCAGAACATGTAGTGTATCTTTAACATTTTATAAAGTGACAGTCACATTAAGAAATGCAAACGCATTAAATATATCAATAATTAAACAGACACATATAATTGACGTACCCGTTTGAAGATTTGAATATAAAAATATGCAATATTAACTTTCAAGCAATCTATATCCATTTCCATCCATTGTAAAGGAAACATGCAAGAAATGGCCGAGAACATGCGATTGTCCCCAAGTGATTGTGAATTGCAGGCGAGATATGATGTATTTTCCAAACAGAAAAAGCTGTTTTCAACATCCGATTGGAGAAGAATGACATACACTATTTATTACAAATAACATACCATTCAAAATCTACCAATTAGGACTTGCGGTTCACACAGATTTGTGGTTATGCTTCAAGGAACTACATGAGTACAATTGCTAAGTTACTACGCACCAGTGATTGTATATGATTTTTGTGACAAGACAGAATAACGTGGAGACTTCCGTGTCATTTGGACACATGTTTCGAAAAGTCTTGCAAAGAGAAACATTATACAGATTTGGTCACAGTTTATGTACATTAAGTATAGAAACTGTTTGTGTATATCCCATGCATCTTGAAATTGCGCATTGAATAACATATTGCAGCTTAATTAAATAAATGTATTTTTTTCAAAGTAGAAAGTCGTATTTTAAGGATATTCATCTCAACTTATCTCGATTATTTTTCGATTGTTTCAAATCTTAGTTTAGGTATATTAATGCCCATTGTTAATAGATGCCAAATTGAATTACCTTTGTTTTTATTAGTAGAACATTGGACGTGATTACTAGACAAAATAAAAATATGTGAAATAGACAAGGTCGCAATTCCGTCCTCCACAAATTAAAGGTCAAGATCGCAGTTGGCGGTTCAAGATCAAATCATGTATGTCCGCTTTCCTCTCTGTCTTAATATCTTTCTTATTTCTTGATTGATTATCAAAAATTTGTAAAAATGTTTTCACCAGGGTCAGCGCAACATGCTGACATATGATCAATGAACTAGTCTTTTATTACTTAATATTATTACTGACCCATTGTCTTTATAAATGCATACACAATGATTTTTTATTAAGTTGCTAATTTCAATTAGCAGGATACATTAATCTCAAAAAGGCTTTGTCATATTTTCCCAATCCTGTCGTAAATAATATAATAATAGAAAATATAGTTATGTATTACTCTCTTATTTGTGTTGTGTAAAAATCGCCTTTGGAATATCAAATCATGATTTAAAACGTGGAATCTTGAAAACACGGATAACGTCGCACTTTATACAAACTGAACTCATTTTATGTCTTCGTCTTTAGTGCCTTCGTCTTTGATGTTATGGAACAACTTGCAGACCTGAAACAAGATGTGTAGCTACCAAATCATCTTCCGAAACTGAGTAAAAGCATGTCTGTCTATTGAAACTCCAAAATGATACCTGACAGGTGAGAGAAATCCCACAGTTTTTCATTGCAGACAACAAAAAATCATGCAGTAACTTAAATTTCTATTTATTCTGCAATCATTTGTCTCAGGGTTCAAGCTGTTCTTGTGGATATCAGACAAAATATGTTAACCATTTTGATCACACCTGAGCTTAAACTTAAGTGGCCAGTTAGCATACGTCATTCGGTCCGCCGTCCTCTGTCAACAGTTGATGAAATCGCAGTTTTGACTGGATCTTCATCAAACTTTGTCAGAATGTTCATGTAAGTAGTTCCTCAAATATTGACCATCTTTGGCAAAAAGGATTTATCTAAATAATTCGTATGAGTTTGAATACATGTGTATGAGTCAACAGAAATTAAACACTTAGTCACCAGATTAATCTAAAGTAAAACCTAACCATTCATGCTGTCAAACATTGGTGTTGTTTTCTTCAATATTTGTCAGAATTATTATTTATCTTTGATAAGTTTGTAGATGGATCAACTGAAGTACAAACATGGTTATAATGTCATATCAAGGAAAATTATGTTAACACTAAAGAGGTAAAGGAGATTTATTTTTGACACTATAGAGGTAAAGGAAAATCTTTCTAACACTTTAGAGGTAAAGGAAAACTTTGTTAGCACTCTAAAGAGTCAAAGAAAAATCTTGTTAACACTCTATATATGTAAAGAAAAATCTTGCAAATAGTCTAGACGCCTCACATGTGGTTTGACCTTCACCAAACTTTGGTAGAATGTTCATACTAAGGTTATCTTGAATAAATTGGAATATGTGGCATCTAAGGTAATAATCTAGATCACAAGGACAAATCAAGAACAAACCGTGTTAATTAAATTTTAAAAGACATATTTTATCGATCTTCATCAAGCTTTGTTTGTCTTCATGTTACATTGGTCATGTTAGAATATGGGTCATTTTGAATCAATAAATAAATAATTAAAGAACAGCTAGGTTTCAGTTTTCTTTTCTTCTTCATCAACATTTTCCCGCATATACATTTGACAAGATTACCTCGGACCAAAAATGAGGACAATAATGAATCCATTCAAAACCATTTATTGCCACTAGATTTTATACTGTGAAAAAATATATAAAATAATTCAATACTTTTCAGCAAGCAATGGACAACACGTACCACAAGGAATATCTTTTTTATTGTTCTTTCTTTCCCGCAAAAGCCACATACAGCTTTTTTAAATATTCCATATACATGTATATTTTGTAACTTGTACCTTGTACCCTTGTACCTTACCATTATTGAATCTCCTACATTGTTTTATGGTGATAGGTTATCATGTCATATAAAGGACTATTTTGTAAACACTGAGGAGTTGAAGAAAAATCTTGTTCACAGTCTAGATGACTCACATGTGGTTTGATCTTCATCAAACTTTACAAAATGTTTATACTAATGTTATCTTGAATGAATTGTAATATGTGCCATCTTAGGTAAAAATCTGGAGCACAAGGACAAATTAAGAACAAACCTTGTTAATGTTTTAAAAGACATATTTCTACTGATCTTCCTAAAGCTTTGTTTGTCTTTATGTACATTAGTCAGGTTAGAATAAGGGTCATCTTGAAAAAAATAAAGTAGGTAATAAAGTCATTCGGAAGGAACAGCTGGGTCACAGTTTTCTTTTCTTGTTCATCAACATTCTCCATAAATTGTGTATCGTTTATAATTTTACGATTGGTTACCTCTGATCAAAATATGTGACAATGATAATTCCATTCAAAACCACGCAGTTCCCCTTCAATTCATACATTGAAAAAAAGATATTCTTCCTATCCCGCGAAAGCCACATACACATTTTTTACATGCCATATACATGTATATTTTGATACTTGTACCTTAACATATTGTATCTCCTGCATTGCATTATGGCGATAAAACATGTTTAAGGTATGAGCCCCCTATAAGGAACTATAAAATAGGTCAGTTATATACCTTAAAAGACACAATAATGCAAAATTTAAACAAAGTTTACCGTATGGTTTACGAGTTATGGAGATTTTTCTAAAATAAAAATTGGCTATCAGAAGGGCTCTTTTTCAGAAGTGAGTAACTCGAAATATTCTATTTTAAAATCATTATGAAAAAATGTTTTCCTATAAAACATTTTTAAGAAACAAACAATAGCTAGCATTCAGCTAACAAATGACCCAGAAAAATTATTGTTACTACTCAAAATGTTTGAAATATGTATATAAATGTTTCTCTACCCCACCCATTTTAAGTAGTTGTTTGATCATTTTTCAACTTTGAGGGCCTTTTTTCAAAATATCCTTAAAATTTACTCAGATCAGGGGCTGTTTTCAAAGTTTGCATAAATTTTCTTAAAAGTATATTGGTTGCGCTTGTCAACCGTCTTTTTTTTTATTTTATTAGACTTTGAAAATATCAGGTACCATATTTGATAATAAATTTGGCACAATTTAGCCAATAAATACCAATAATTATTTTATAATTAAAATGAAACACTTTTTTCTTCTCAAGAGTGATCTGAGAGACACAAATAATGTTCAAAGAAAAAAAAAGAAAGAAAAAAAAGTTGCCTCTTCTGGGGCTTGAACCCACGCCCCTCAGTTACGATGCAGTTGACAGTAGTTTTAGCCTATTTGAATACTCTTCAAAGTGGAGGTGGTGCATTAGGTGGATCATACCTTAAATCACTTTTCCCCTAAATATATGTCCCATTGAATAATATACATAAAGAAAGGTATGTAAAGTCTACGGATTCGTTATTTACAGTAATTATATAACATATCATAATGATTATAATAATTTAATATTTGACAAATGCATACCAATATTAACTAATTTTTTTTTGTTATATATTCTTTTGAGATTATTCAGTATGTTATGATTTTAGCGCAAATTATATGTCAACTATTCACTAAGCAGAACATTATCACAAGACACTTTGTCTTTCATTATAGATAGATAGATAGATAGATAGATAGATAGATAGATAGATAGATAGATAGATAGATAGATAGATAGATAGATAGATAGATAGATAGAATAGAATAGATAGATAGATAGATAGATAGATAGATAGATAGATAGATAGATAGATAGATAGATAGATAGATAGATAGATAGATAGATAGATAGATAGATAGATAGATAGATAGATAGATAGATAGATAGATAGATAGATAGATAGATAGATAGATAGATAGATAGATAGATAGATAGATAGATAGATAGATAGATAGATAGATAGATCTTCTGAGAAATGATATATGTTTAAAATAAATTTAACAAAACAATAACACGTAAATATCAAATTTTACGCCTTTTCAACATTACCAAATCAATTTTCTCCATAACAAGTTTGCAACCAGTTGTTGAAAAAAACTTATTAGAATGTGGAAAGTACAGCATTTCATCTGCAATTGATTTCACTAATTTATAATCTACTTTGTATTCATACGCATAAAATCCTCTTGCAAATAGTCCTTCTATAATGCATTTTTCCACATGTTTTCTTTCCAATGGTAGAAATGGGATATAAGCGGTAATTAGGCTATACTTGACTATTTTACTTTTCACCAAACCATCTGTATAAGAAAGACAAAATAATGTCATAAGAGATAAATTGTTTATCGAATTCCTGATAGAATTGCAAAAAAAAAGTAAATTATGGAATACTAGTTATGACATTTCCATCTTTTAGTTATGAAATATGGTAAAACTATGTTGATAAACTGACATTATATTCATTATGTTTTTAAAGTTCTTAATTTTTGTGTCCTGATACAGTTTCCAAAAATCCACTCCTCTGCATTTTATAGCTGGTAAAAAAAAACTGGAAAAAAAAAGTGTTAACCCCTTCGAATAAAGATCACGACTTTAGCTATTTATGCGTTTGAAATTAGTAAACCAGTTACAGTCATTTTAGCATTTTTTTGTATTGAAGCCAAATATCTACTTAGTTGATATGTTGTTGCCTTTATGACAATTTATTTCACATTCAGTGTGTATTCTTAATTTGATTTAGCACGTTACATGATCATAATCCATTATTACAAGGGTATAAAATAAAAGGGTAAGTTCTGTAAGTATTTAAATACAATGTAAAATCAACTTACTTGGTTCATTTAAAGATGACATTCGTACAATTTCTTCCATATCATTTAGTCTCAATTCTCTTCTATCATATCCACGAGTATAACTTTGCGCAACATGTTTAAAAAGGCTGTCTCCACCCGTCTTACTGAAAAAAAATATGTAGGGCTTCTATGATTAAATGTTTTCTGTCGTAACGCAACTTCCTGACATTACTGATTTCGAAACAGCAGGACATTACCTTATTCTATATAACTGTCTTACATGTGTAGTATAAAGTTGCATGATGATATGAACACCGCAAGCATAGAACCTAAAAACAGAGTACAAGAAGTTCTTTACTACCTGGTATATGAAGTAACAGATCCTACTCATCATTTTCTCGTAAAATACTGCACGTAACGAGAATACTGCTATTTGTTTTTTTACAAATGACTCTACAATTTAATGATATAAATGGATTCATGAACAGGAAAGCATTTACCTTAGGAAGAGAAATAGAAATTTATTAAAGTATGTTCCTTCCTCGTGGTCGTAGTAATCAACGTAAGGGCGGATAGTGTCAATCAAACCAGGAGGTAATTTATCCATTTCATCAATGATAAAAAGTGACCTTGAACATTCTTTAACAGCTCTTTCCATCTTCATTTTCAGCATCTTCTGTATAAGAAAGGAAACTACGAATTGATATTGGATCCTTATGAAAGTGATCAAGTAATTATGTAACTCAGATTTTTCATGGAGATACAAATATCTGCACCTGAATGTGTCCTTTGTCTCTTTTTTCTTTTTTATCAATATTAAAATTGGTTACATTTGTAAAAGCTTTGAACTATTAAATACTAGAATTTTAAGCATTTCTTTTAAACATACCTTGTATTCTTCTAGCATATTATCATGAGGAAAATCTTTCGTTGCTGAAAGAAAATGAACGTATTTGCTGTCCATTCCCCTGACATACATGTTTTCTGCCACCATGCGACTCACGAAGTTTTTCCCGGTTCCAGGCAAACCATGAAATGAAAGCACTGTTGCTCTTTTATGTTCACCTTCAACGTGACCTCTTAGATGTTTCACCAAAGGACCAATCACGAGATGTTGACCGTACAACGTTTTGTTAAGTTGGAATTCAAGGCCTAAAAGAAACGCTTTGAATATCATTTAAAATAGTATTTCCCTATGTAAAAGTTACTTCTAGTCTAAATGAAGAATACATATATAGTTTTGGATAATATTGTTAACTTTCCAAACTTATAGTGACAATATAACGGTCTCTGCAATAAAGATACGGTATAAAGACATGCTGCTGGTCAAATGTGTTTTCAAAAAAAAAATCTTTATTGATATATAAATATATAGACAAAGTTTTACCACTTATATTTGGAGAGATCCAATTATCGTCACAACATTCATTTGAAGTAAGTGTATTATGTAAAACTGATGCATATGAGGCTGCAACAACTACAGCAATCAATGACAAATTTATTCCATCTTTTAAAGAATGCTCACTGTGCTCCTCATGAATTACTATAAACAAGAACAAAGCCATAAATCCAGTTGTTACTGTCCAAACAAATATTGTTGTAAAGTGATACAACGCAATTACTGCTACAATACATGTCAATGCACACAATTTATTACAAACACAAACAGGCATTCTGAGCAGATTATTCCACGAGTCGATTGAAGAAGTTAAATAATGCGAAAGAGTGTATTTTGTTTAATGTCGGTCTACCTTTATATCAATTCCATTCATATATCTCGTAACTAAATGATTTTCGAAAAACTCTATGTCGATTGAATTTTGATAGTGTTGTAGGCCTTTCATTATCTAAGAACAAGATAATACATGTAGTTATCAGCCATGACCCAAATATCCCAACTTTTAAACGATCGTGACCGTGTCTGTTATCATTTATTATTATCAAAAACAAGATTATCACTAATCCAGTTATTACTATCCAAACAAATATTGTTGTAAAATGATACAACACAATTACTGCCGCAATACATGTCAATGTCCACAATGTATTACCAACACTAACAGGCATAATGAGTTGATTGGAGATGTTCAAGAAGTTTCTTTACTAAAATCAGATCTCTTTTAACAGATCTCTGTTTTGAACTTAGATCATATTTTATATTCGTATAATATGAATTTTTTAATTACGTTCGAAACAGAACACACCACCAAAATGATTCTGATCTGCACTAATTAAGAAGTTGCTTTTTTGTATGCTTTCAAACACGTTGACAAACGTACATGAATGCCAGTGAACATGTTTTATGCATGTTATAGAACATTTCAAGTCATGTTTATTCCAGTTTTTGTATAAATCAGTGTCATAATTTTTACCCAATTGAAATTTATTGTGTATCATGTAAAACAAAACACTTTGAATATTCATATACAAAATTTGACCAAAATCATAATTCATTATCCTTTATATATTTGCTATAATATCACGTTGTCAATACACACATTTTCTCATCGAACGCAGTGATTATGAAATAATAATTCAGTAATATCATTTTAAACAATTCAAATCTATTCAAAAATAAATAATATCTTCCCTTTGTAAGTGAGTGAGTGAGTGAGTGAGTGAGTAAGTGAGTGAGTAAGTGAGTGAGTTGGTGAGTGAGTGAGTGTAGACTTCATTTAAATCGGCAAACAGTTATAGGCAAACAGTTATGAAACAATTTATAGAATGAGGACATGAGTTACTAATTAAACATATATCAAAGAAATTAACATTAAAAACAAAACATATACACAAAACAAATATATTCAAGCAATATATACTATGTATATAAAATATCTACAAGGCATATAAATCGGGGTACCCACCAGGGAACAACCATGATAGGTATTTGTAAGACTGTCGGTCGGCCGGATGCATGTGTCATGGTAATTTGTTTCAACTTTTAGGCCCAAAGAATGCTAGCGCTTGTCTTTGAAATTCTAATCTAGGTTTGGGTATTTAAGGTGTCTGTGGGATGAATGATTTAAAAACGGGTGATGTGGTATTTATAAGAAATAATTCAAACATATAATCTGACATAATTACATTGTTGAGGGATTTACCTTTTTAAAGTGAATACAGTCAAGTGTTTATAGCCAATTCAAAACGTGAATCTATATTTCTGAAGGTGTATCAATATATTTGCCTATAATGATACGGACAGGGCACATGTGTTGTTTTTTTAATTGTACGCGCTGTTTTGTATTTCATTATTACAGTTTCCACAAATAGTGCAGCATTATTCTAGGAAATATATGTATGCATTATAGAAAACTAGTCTCCTTTGTTTGTTTAGATATTGTTTGATGCGTTGGAGTAGATATGGTAATGAAATGCATTTTTCATCAGATGTTCTATTTGAAAATTACATGATTATTTATGATGTACAGGAATTCATGTCAGTATTTCTGTTTTAATAAATTCAATGTCATTTGTCTGCATTTTCAAAATAACGTCATTGCTTAATTTTAGTGAATTGTAAACATACTTCAGTGGAATAATCATTGCTTTTGTCGTCTGTAGATTTGGTAAGATAGAGTTTCCTTTGCACCAGTCATAGATGATATCAATGCTGATTTGTATTGGTCAATACAAGTGGTAACTTAATGTGACTTATGTTTGAAATAGTTTGATTGAGTTCAAATTGTATGGTAATGTACTTTGAACAAAGTTTCTGTTCTGATCCATATTATTTAAGAATCAAGATAAAAAGCTTCCATAGAGGTTTGGTCTCTAACTATACATCACTGCATTACACAAGAGCATAGTGCTTTTTCAAAGTATATTCTCGAAGAACTTTTTAGATCTTCATCAAACATACTTTTTTTCCGTGAAATATTGACCAGGTTCACACATGAGTCTTCTTAAGACAAAAGTTTGTGAGAAAAATGCTAAATCACGCTTTTCTTTATTTGTTCGAATTTTGTCTCACTATAATTTTGACAAGATATTTTGCTTTCCTTGAATCCGAACATGGTCTAAATATCGAATATATGTAAACTCATGCAATCACTTTAGAAGTCACAGTTTTCCTTTCATTTTAATTAAAAGAAATGACCAATTTGTTTCTTGTGAGCAAAAAAAGGTCATCACTGCCCTCTGATATGGGATACACGTTCGACACGTTCGAAATATCGGAACGAAAGAATTCATCTTTTTAACAAATAATGGCAATTTTACATTCATTTACGAATACATCTACTTTGCAATTCAGATTTTTTTTAGAAAATTATTGTAAAATATCTTGACTGTTCAACATGATATGAATGCATGTAAACGCTATTGATAGCACAAATTCTATAAACATTAATGTACATTTGTTTAAAGTAGATAAGTCAATTAGGGAAGGTCTGTAATACCATAAATAATTATGTTGATGGCATTTAGTATCATATTTGAAAAGAAACCACGAAATAATTATCAAAGTATGTTGCTGGTTGGTATCACCAGGACAAATCAAGAAAAACCTTGTTAATTTCTAATGTCATATTTGAAATTCATTAACCTTTGCCTCCATGTAACACACGTCAGGTTAGAATATTTGGTCATCTTGAATTATAAAGTCTTCGAAAGGAAAGTCTAGGTCACAGTCATCAACATTTTCTCAAATTTTTGAAAGGATTGGTTACCTCAGATCAAAATAGGTGACAATGGTTAATCCATTTAAAACCATGCAAACCCACAAGAATTCATTTATAAATAGAGAAAATATAGTCAGTGTGCAATTGTTCAATATTTTTCAACATTGTATAACACGTACCACAAGGCATATTTTGCTTTGTTGTTTCTAACCCGAGGAAATCAGATACAGTTTTTTTTTATTCTTGCATATATATTTTGTTATTTTTACATTACTGATAGCCATTCTTGTAGCGACTGTAATCTATTATGGCGATAAACATGTTTAAATAACCTTTTACCAAATCAATATCCAATCGAATAATATAAAGAAAGATACATATAAGGCTATACATTCTTTATTTACAGCAATGATTATAATGTAGTCATTTACAAATGCATACCAATATAAACTCACTGATTACAGTTTTGTTTTATATTCTTCTCAGTTTATTCAATATTTTATGATTTAAGCGCCTATTATATGTCAACTACTCAATATGGAGAAGAATATGGCCAGACACTTGGTCTTCTATTATTCCCTGCGGTCTGGAGACCGCAGGGTATTGGTACGCGTTTAACTTTTGAGGCATGGAGGAGCACGTGACCTGTTTTCGGTACATGGAGGAGCATGTGATCTGTAAACCGTACACGATTGGTTAATTGACCTTTTCGAAAACCTAGCTAAATACCGTTTGCCGGTTACGGATTTACCTTTAGGGAATTAGTCCGAATTATACCTAATTAGGAACAAAAAAACTATTACGTGATATTTCTAACTTTCTATAATTATTTTACCGTTTAATGTGAAAAAACTTAAATGATGTGTTTGAAAATTATCAATGTTTCTAAAATTTCACAAACAATAAATTGTTTAACTGAAAATCTACAAAATTAGAATATTCGTAATGGCATCTGCCATAATAAATAGA